TAATCTAGAAAGAAAATCAATTAGTTCAATCAATAACTAATCATTTAATTTTTTAAATATTTTCATGTAAACAAAATGCGCCTTATTAATTTCGTTTACGACAGTAAATCCTGCATTCGGGAAAAAACCTATTGTTATTATATTTTTAAAATATATGGAATTGGTTTATTTCATTTTCGTTTCGCTCATGATGTCGAGTATTTTTTTTCTTAATGGATGTTACAAACAAATATAATTATTGCTGCTATTTTTGCCTTATCTTTCATTATCTTTATCTTATCGTCTATTCAGAATGTAATAAAGAAGACAATAAAATTTGAAGATTAATTTTTTGAGAAACATAGGATTGAGTGATTGCCTTTGTCTTTTCAAAAAAATATTACCTTTTTAATTTTCTAATAAATCGTTTTCTTTATGATAAATCACTTGTATAATATTTTACAGTTAGCATACATGGAAAAATTGAAAAGAATTGTATATTTGTTTTTCGACTATGCCAGAAAAAAAATTAGTTAATATGTCGTCAACAATATAAGAAACATGTATACCATTATCATTAACATCCATCTGACTAAATGTAGAATCTAAATGGCTAAGTAATTCTGGATTATTCTTTTGATTCACTGTGTTAAAAACTTCATCTATTAATCCATTAGTATTTGATTTGCTTATTTCAAAATGAACTTCAGCAGAATGATTAATATATCTTTTACTTGTTGCTGAATTAACACAACAAATAATTTTGAGATTACTCAGGACGATCATTCCGACTATCGGAAACAACATCTTAAACGACCCTAAACGGCTATAAAAATGGGGAAATGCTGCATTAATTTTTACAGTATTTCACCGTAATCAGTCATACTGTTTTACGAGCCAATTTTTTGCTAGAAAACGGCTATCGTTTTCTCCGATATGGCTTCCATTTTCTGGTATGACGAATTACGGCACCGTTTCTTTGGACTTGGATAATTCCATCATCTAATGGCAATATGAATCCGATTATTTGATTGATCATAATCTAATACGGTTATCACATCCACTATTTCATTACTTGATGGACTAACATTTCTTTGGGTTGATGTACGTCCATCAGATGTAAAATCTTTTTCATCGATAACTTCAGCATTATCTTTTGATAATGATAGATCATTATTGTTTGATGCTTGATTACTTGGTAGTGGTGATATTAAAGGTTTTATACGTCGGCTTATTCTTTTTGATTAGAATGGCATACTACCACTTGGTGCAGTAACTTCTGAAGAAGAGAATTCTTTGAATGATGCATCCGAAAAATTAAACATATTTTATCTGAAATAAAGAAGAAAACTTCTTTTAAACAGGAGGTACTATCATTCGTGTTCGTGTAGAGTTGCATACACTATATATCCAATGTGCGCGTTTCTTCTCTCTATTTATTTTGCGAAAAACAAGTATATATATACGAGTATCTATTTTTCATTCAACAAGAGAAGACCAAAAATGATATGTAGTACCTGTATAGAGTTTAATGAATGACGATCATCCCGAAAATACTTTCCATAGATAAGGTGTAGATTCTGCATTGTAATCGTTTTGTGGGTATATACATAATGCATTAAACATTACTGTATAACCCAATGGCGTACGATAAATATTCGCACGTTGTTTCATACAAATTAAATAAGTAGAAAATGAAAGATAATATTATTATACGAGAAGATCCGCAAATAACGGCTTTTTATTGAGAAAAAAAATCTACTATTAATCTATTTGTTCAAATAATACACTATTGCAACATATAGAATGATTGTTTTGTTAAAGATAACTGTTTAATAAGTTTTATTTCGAAATAAATGTTATATCTATTCACTGCTATTTATAAGTATATGAGGCTTACTAGCTTTCTTACTTTTATCCCTTATATTGAGGTAATATTTTGATGGATCATATCACTTTTTGCAAAGACTAACCGATAATACTACACTTATATGTTTTTTTTCTGTGAGAATTGTTTGTAACGAAAAATTAGAAATGTTATGAGTCTTAAAAAAAGCTTCTTATGATGGAAAATATAGTTTGGCCAACAATGCTTCATTCATCCTTATTTAAAAAAAAGTTCATGAATCTATTAAGTATTGAATAGTAAACTTACAAGTTTTTCTATACTGCAAAAAGTTTTATACTAAATAACTCTTGATATTTTTCTCAGAAATCATTTCATGTTTGTAAATAGTATGTTGTTTATATGTGTCTTTTTATCAAATCAAATTTTGACAAGCATTAAAATATCAAGTAAATATTTTTCCGTATCGATTCATTAGATGCATTATATGATCAACGATTAATTATAAAGAACATTCACTTTATGTCCGAAAGAATGCTTCATTATTGCTACAATTTAAGAAAAAAATTTAATATTTTGCGTATAAAATTTAGATTTCGATCTGGTTTTTGACATGACATATCGTATTACATATGTAACACATTACAGACAAAAGAAGTTGTTGACTTATACTGTTCGGTTTCATATCAGAAAATGATTGATAAAGAATATCCGCATAGTTGAGTTCAACTTGGATATAGAACTCATAAATAAAATAAAAAAACTAAAAGAATACATGCTCAAATTATTAGTTTACTCATTAAAATCTCAATTTCTCCGAAACGAGAAAGGTATCATTCGAGATTTGTAGAAAGCAAGGTCATAGTTGTGATTTTTCTTTTGTTCACTTTTATTAGGCTACATTCATAACATTAAGGGTATGAGTGTGGATGTAACTCTTCTCTTCACTCCTGCAAACACACTCACACCCACGCCCTCTTCAAGTTAAGTATACACGGATGTATCATGTTTCAACTGGAATGTATAGCACTAAGTATCTACGCTTATCAATCCGAAAACAGATAAATGATGTTATATAATTAAAATCAGGGTATTTCTATTAATAAACTCTGTATCAACTAATATTGATATCGGTATTGATCAAGAATTGACTTTAAGACTTTCTTTAGATTTTTTCGTATGTTATAACAAATCGAATCGATTGATTTGAGAAATATTTTATTGAGACATTGCTTAATAGAAGAAAAAAAGTCAATAAGAATTACGAGATAAATATCAATTTTCTGTCAATGAAAATTTATTTAATCTATATTAATTCATATCGTTACTGAGAAATTTTCTTGAACACACAATTTGTAATTTATTCAAAACTGATTAAAATAAAGATAGCTGAAGGTTTTCATCTTTTTGTAAACTACGATTATTAGCGTCAAATGAATTATTAATATTGTATTGAAATGTATCAAAAAATTTTGAATCTGCACTTCCTTTTCGACGAAAATATGCACATGTTTTTCGATTGAAACGAAATCAAATATCTTCTTGTTATTTGCTCTTCACATTAACGTCTAAATGGAATTTCATGTAATAAAAATTTCCATATGTCCATTAAAATATATGTACTTTATCTCAGTTGAGAACATTAAAAAAGAAATAAATACAATATGAGAAAATTAATTGTGTAAATGTTTACCTACCTTGATGTTGTAGTTTATCATTACTCATAGTATAATATAAAAATCATTCGACCATGACGTCAGAATATTATGCTAGTAATTATGTTGGAAATTTTCTCTTTACATTACTTTGATAGACTTTCTGGTGTTGTAAATAAATAGAGTAGCGATGGTTAACTGTATACAATAAAATCACATCATTATTCACATATTTTCTTCTCTAACATGTGTAGTTTTTCATGGTATTCAAAATGACTATTGGCAGAACTCAAAATTTTGACTAAAAATCTTGATGTTCAATCATACTTTCAATACGAAAATTCAGAAATTGATGAGAACTTTAAAAGTTTTTATATATATGGATATCTATTACCTCGTACAGAACCATATAAGCATGGCTCATTTAAAGTACGTATTATATTAAGTCCATACTATCCGTTCGAAACTCCGCGCATGGAACTGTTAACATATATTTATCATCCAGCTGTACGTAACAATATTTCCGAGCCACGTATGTGTACTACATGTGGCTGTTATGAATGGACGGCGAGTAATCTCATCAGTCAATATATAAAATATTTTGTAGATGTAATCGATCAACCAGAAGCTATTGGAACGTATTGTATGTTTAATCCAAAAGCTAAAATGTTGTATGATGAAAATAGAGCCGAATATGAAGAAATAGCTTTGACGATGGTAAAGAAATATTCGTGTTCACGTTCAGATCTATCAATTATTTCATTGAAATTCACCGTCAAGAAAATAATTCTTAAACACCTTGATTTTGATTCAGCAAAAATTAATCAATTACCATTATTCGATCATTTAAAAGAATATCTACATTCAACATTATATAGAAGTAAAGATACTGCAAAACCATGAAAACTATATCTTTTTCAATGTATGTGAAAAAATATTTTTACTGAACTTTACAATGCAGTTAAATAAAAGCTAAAACCAGACTTTATTCTCAGTAGAACTACTTACTCTTTGAGAAGAATTAGTAAAAATTACTGATTTAGTTTGAACTATTCTTCAATATCTATCAATACATGAACAACCTCTAATCAATACATAAATTAATAGACGTGCTTTCCTCAGATATCAAGCAATTAAAGTTTATAGGTTGCTTCGAAATGTTGAAGTAACCAAAGCTCTTGTATAGATTATGACGTGTATTTTTGTCTACATTTTTATATGATTTCGGTGTAAAAGAGCTAGAGATTTATGGACAACATGAATTCCTAATGAATTCGATTGCGAGCAGAAATGATTCCACCCATGTTTGTTCTCACTAATGCACCGATATCACTAGAATTTGCTAAGAATGGAAGACATGAAAGGGAAAAGACAAGAGTTACTATGATTGTCATTAACTTAACAAAATGAGAAATAAAGTTTTTTTTGTTTTTCCCATAACTTACTTGCATCACGATCAACAACAAAATGGCGACCAAAAGTAGGATAAGCCATAATAAAAATCACTTAGAGCTGCTGTATTAAAAATATGCAGTCACGTATCGATTTCTTGCTTTTGATTTATTAACAATTGAAGTATATCGATCAACTTCTTCTTTATGCCAACCTCGAAAAGTATCACCAACTATTGGACCAAGTCTACAAATTGAATTATTTTAATTAAAAATAATATTTATTTGTATTTTACTTTTTAACAACAGCGATAACAGCAATAGCCAATATAAAATATTCAGTAAAATCATACCATAAAACGATATATTCTTTACTAAAACCATAAATAAGTAAACCATAGAAAAACATATATGGTCCAGTAACAACAGTTTTTTCATAAAAAAATTTAAACTATGATTCAGGTACACAATACCAACGAACTGGATTTGGTGCTTCACGAAGTTTATATAGTGGATAATTAACTAAATCACGTTCAGGCCATTGATCATGTGGCCATAAACGTTTTCCATTATAATCAGTTCTCCATTTAACTGATGATAAATCTTTTAATGAATCTTCAACACGTAACACTTTTTCGTCTTTTTTTTATTCAACTAATGATTTATCATCTAAACGTTTTTTTAAGAATAAATCTATAATTAATAAACTGTTCTTTTTTATGATTTACCTTTAGTTTTAGCACCTTGAAAAAATATATTTGAGATGGACAATGGTCGATATCTAATCAATGATGATGAAACACCATTCGGCACAAATGAACGAGAAAATCTGGTCAACATCTAAAATTATATAAAATACATATAGCATTCGGAATCTCCATCGTCTTTCGATTTATTTTATGAAATAAATATAAATAAACAAGTTACTAAAGCGATCTCTATTGTTTGATTACTCACAATTGACGAAAATGTTTTTTAATGAAAATTTTTTATCTTAGATCTTTAGAATAAATAAATGATTTTTGTATTTATGGATAGTAATAAAAGAAGTTCATCGAAAAACCGCTAAGAAGATTTCAATATCAATCAATTGAAAAATGATCAATCATTTTTTAATCTGTTAATTCTAAGAAGAGAATAGCACTTTTAATATTGAAGGTTTTGTTTAAGTACAATGCAACATCTTCAAAATCATTTTGATGGTCATCAAAAAAATACTGATCAAGTAACACAGACATTCAATAAACGTTTTCTATTTTTTCTCTTTTATACAGATTATTGAATTAGTACTAGTGGCGGAGCCAGGATTTTAAGCTGGGGAGGAAGGGGGGGGGGGCTCAACTCCCTCTGAGGGACCTTTGAGCCCCGGTTAGCAAATAAAATACATGGTTTAAAAATTTTCCTGGGAGGGGCTCAAAAGTTTCTGGGGGGAGACTGAGGCCCCCCCCCAGCCCCACCCTGGCTCCGTCACTAATTAGTACACAAAAGATCGTCATTACAAAATGATATTGATGGAGTTAATGGGCTTCGACACCAGCAATATGATGCTCAAATTAATCATAATCTACCTCACGTGGTATGGCTAAAAGAACTGAAAATTCGAGTCAAACAGAAAGAAATGGCATTAATTGATCAAAAAATTGATTTACTTAAATATAAACTTAAATATGGTTTTAACTTTTGATTTGATCAAACGTCGATATTCCTTTTATTTTATTTTTTTTGTCATTATTATCGTATTCTATCTGATTGATGACAGTATATTGACGTTTAAATAAAAGGATCATTCGTTTCTATCTTTTATCAATAGACAGAGAATAACGGAGGCAAGAGATAAGTATTCTTATTCTATGAATTTAGATATATGTATTATACAAAAAACTCAGTTGAGTACGACATTTCTAAGGTACAAACTACTTTTTTATGCCACAAGCGTTTTAAAGAAAAAAAAACAATAATTGCATACCAATTGAGAAATATCAATGAACGAAAAACAAGTGGATTTATGATATACATAAAACTATTACCAGCTATTCTCAATTTGATATGATCAAACTAAGAACAATCAATTTTAATATTGTTCTGTACGTAAAAGTCGTACTGTTCACGAGACACATACACCAGCTAACTAAATAAGCAATTATTTATTTTTTCTAATTGTCTACAGAAATTATATACAGAAAACAAAGTGCACATTACAACTAATGAAGAACGACGATTTATCCATTATGTTACACAGGAGAAACTCATATTTAAACTAAGCTCCCATTCTGCATGCTAGAAATCGACGTTGTTCGCGGTAAACATCCTCTAATTGTTGATCAAAAAACCAATTCTGTAAACAAAACAAATTTCAATATCAATTAAACAAATAGAAAATATACTAACTATCAGATCCATAAAAAAATCAAAAGCATTAATATTCCATTGTTTAGCAATTTGACGAATTTGTTTTGGTCCAGCATATTTGTTCATTTTATAATCTAGTTTAACAAGTTCCATATTAAGAAGCATAAAAATAGAACATGTATACTTACATTGATGTAAATATTGAAGTTGTTCATTCGTTAATTTTTCTTCGAATATTGCAATTCCTATATAAGCAGTCACGTTATGATTGTTGTCATAAAATAAATATTATGTGGAATGGAATTAAAAGTTCAAATCTGTTCAAGTCTCCATAGAATTTAGATTTAATATTGATAGTTCACATTAGTTAATTTATATATACGAAAAATCAAGATTTCGTTTCCTTTCGAATCATCCCTAAAGAAGTTACTGATCAGCTGAAAAAAAACGATTTATTGCGTTGTTATTTAGAGATCACTTTTTCTCCTTCCTCAGTGTTAAATAATCTATTAAAAATCAGACAGTCAAGTTAAAGCATACTCATAGAGAAATATTACAGAAAATCATTAATATACTCCAAAATATAATATCATAGAAGCAATCTTATTCCCTGTGAAAATCATTTTATGTAGAAAATGCTCGCTTAAAAGATTAAATTCATCAAAAGTCGATTTTATTATGTAAAGCAAACTGATATTGTCAAGATGAGTATTTATTCATTTATTGTTGACATCAACATCGTATCTTTCAAGTTAAAAATACCATCACCATTTGTATAATAAAACAACTGATTGTGATAATTTGTCTCATAAACGTTCTCGAACCTAGTTGATTTTTCAATTAATATACATAAACAACCCCTAATCGATGCATAAATTAATAGACGTGTTTACCTCAGATTTCAAGGAATTAAAGTTTACGAGCTGCTTCGAAATGTTGAAGTAACTAAAGCTCCTGTATAGATTATGATGTGTATTTCTGTTTACATTTTCATACCATTTCGGTGTAAGGACATGGAGATTTATGGATAACATGAATTTCTAATAGATTCGATCGTGAGCAGAAATGATTCTACCCATGTTTGTTTTCGCAAATGCACTGATATGACTAAAATTTGATATGAAAGGAACGAGATAAACGTAATTACTAGTGTCATTAACTTAGCAATATGAGAAATAAATCTTTTTTGTGTTTTTCATAACTTACTTGCAGTATGACCAGGAACGAAATTGGGACCGATAGTAAGATAAGCCATAATAAAAAAAAAACACTTACAGCAGCTGTATTAAAGATATGCAATTACTTATTAATTTTTGTTTTTACTTTTGATGAATAATTCTTCAATGCATTTATATATGTTCACATGTGTATTGTAAGACAAATCATCAAGACGCGAACATATCGAACATTGTTTTATGCATGGATGCAACAGACGAACATATCCTTTGTTATATATGAGCGATTGGTTGAAAGTAAGCTGACCTATGTCATGAAGCAGAGAACAGCGTCTATATGCTTATGAACAAAAACAATATGCGGAGCTAATACATTTGATATGTACTGTGTTGTTTATGTGAAGAACTTTTTCTGAAGTAATTTGGTTCTTATATTTATCAGAGAGAAAACAAAATGTATAGGAAAAAAATCGATGACCAAGTCGATGCATTTTGACGAATAACAATGACATTATTACCGTGAAAGTTTTTAAGTACAACTGTGTACAATTTTGAAATGGGTACTAC